AGAATTGGCGCCCATATGGGATCCCGGCGTGTTCAAGGTGAGGACTTCAGCCACTAGGCCGCCGTGCTGGGCCCACCATCTATTTTTCAGTGTTTGCTTATTATCTTCTTGTTTTTCTTTCAATTTGTTGTTGTTTTGGTTTTCACATCTCTGCTATATAGTTAAATGTCTAATACTTTTTTTTTTCATGGTTTCTGTGCTTTGTCACCCTTCTTAGACATGCCTTCCTCACTCTAAATTTACTTTTTAAAATTCCCTAGAAGGGCACCATCACCTCTGCAATGCTCTTGCCAAAATGTACCCCCTAAGTCTAACTGTGAGAAAATAATGGGCAAATCTTACTGAGGATTATTCTGCAAAACAATTTTCAAGTACCCTTCAGATGTGTCAAGGGCACACAAAAAATGGGGGGTCAAAGGGGCAGGAATTTGGTGCTAAGGCAAGTCAACACTTGGGACCTCCATATCCTTTGTTGGAGTCCCAGCTCTGCTTCTGCTCCAGCTTCCAGCTAATGTCCAGCAGGTGACAGCCTGAGTGACTGGGTCCGTTCCACCCACGTGAGAAACTCAGGTTGAGTTCCAGGCTCCTAGTTTCAATCTGGCCCTGTCTCGGCCGTGGCGGCCAACTGGGGAGTAAGTCAGAGGATGCAAGATCTCTGTCCTCTCTCCCTCTTTCCCTCTCTCTGCCTTCCACAAAGAATAAAGAACTCAACCGAGTGAAAGAAAGGAAAAGATATGTGTGAACCAGAGGTACTGTGAGACCCAGGATCAGACGCTGAGCCAGGAGAAGTGGCACTGGTGAGAAAACTGGCAGGGCACAGGTGAGATCTGTGGGGTCATTCATGGTTTGGTTCAAGTGCTGATGTCAATGCTTCCATGCTCGTACCACGGCTGTGCAAGACGTGACCATTCAGGGAGCTGGTGGAGAGTATTTGGCAGGGACTTTGCGCTCTTTTTGTAAGTCTAAAATTATTTCAGGGGCTACTGCTGTGGTATAGTAAGTTAAACCTCTGTCTATGATGCCAGCATCCCATATGCATGTCAGTTTGAGTCTGGGCTGATCCACTTCCCATCCATCCAGATCCTTGCTAATGTGACTGGGAGGGCAGCAGAGCAAGGACTCCATCTGGCACTCCAATAAGGGATGCTGGCATTGCAAATGATGGCTTGATCCCTTCTGCTACAACACTGGCTCTCATTTTACTTCTTATTTCTAAATTTTTATTTATTTTTATTTTATGTGAAAGGCAAATAATCTCCCATCTACTGGCTTACTCCCCAAATGCCCACAATAGCCAGAGATAAACTTGGCCAAAGCTGGAACTCAACCTGAGACTCCCATATGGGTGCAAGGACCCAAACACTGGAGCCTTCCAGAACACACTTAAGCAGGAAATTAAACTCAGGAGCAGAGCCCAGACATAAACACTTGGGATATGGATAATCCGAGCAGGGTCTTTTTACTTTTTAAAAGATGTATTTGTTTCTTATTGCAAAGTCAGATATATACAAGAGGAAGAGAGACAGAAAGGAAAATCTCCTGTCTGTTGATTCACTCCCCAACTGGCTGCAATGACCTGGGCTGAACCAATCTGGAGCCAGGAGCCAGGAACTTCCTCTAGGTTTCCCACATGGGTGCAGGGTCCCAAGGCTTTGGGCCATCCTTGACTGCTTTCCCAGGCCAAAAGTAGGGAGCTGGATGGGCAGTGGGGCCACAGGGACACAAACTGCCACCCATATGGGATCCTAGCACGTGCAAGGAGAGGACTTTAGCCACTAGGCTACTGCACTGGGCCCTGCAGCAGGGTCCTAACCTTTGCTCCAAAACCTCCCCAGTTAAAAGGAACAGTTATAGAGATCTTGCATCTACGGGTTCAATTCTCTAGCTCTGGTTGAAACCAGGAGCCTCCCTGCAGGTCTCCCACTTCACTGCTTTTGTAAGTGCAAGAACAAGAAATTGGATGGGACTCAAACCAGGACACGAGTGGCTTAGCTCACTAAACCATAACAGGGATTATTCAATCATCTCCTTATCACCCACGGGATCTTATCTAGTGAAGCCTATTTCTGGGCTTTCTCACAGGCTTCCTTGGCCTGACCCATCCCACACGCGGCAGCGTGGCAGTGTTTGAATCGCATCATTTTTCATTTTACAGCGTGCTGGCATATCTCAGACCAGGCTGCTCCTTCCCACAAGTTCCAGGGTTGTTAAGACTTATGCCTCAGCCAATCACCATGGCTGGAGCCAATGGGACTCCTTTATTGGCCAGGCTCGAACCACACGTGATATGAACCTGCAAGATGATATGAACCACGCGGACTGAGTGGGGGGAATGGGAGCTGAAAGCAAAAGGAATAAAAGGGTGCTAATACAATAAGGGTGAGTGCTGGATGGGGACAGATGACACGTTTCCCACCAGGACAGGAGTCCCAGAAGGAAATCAACTCTTCCCCACACACCTGGATTAGCTTAGTTCATACACTGTCTCAACAGTTGAAGAGATTTTCTTGTGCGCTAACCTGAATCACTCAGCAACACATGCCACCTTAACCCCAACAGATTTTTAGAATTTGTTCGCACCTGCAAGTGTTTCCCCTTGGAAAATTAGCAGCCAGATTCAAGGTCGTTTGTGTAGAACTCCACCTGGGTCTGCCTCGTGGATGGTGGGAACGCAACTGCTTGGGCCCTCATGCACTGTCTCCTAGTCCCGTGAGTGGAAAGCTGGATCTTGAATACGGAGCAGTAGGGACTCTGACGAGACATCCTGACCTGTTCCTCCAGCTCAGTGAAGTCCCTGATCCTTGCGGGAAAAGGATCACTGAGGCAGATTCGGCAGGCCCCTAGCCACAGACTCCTCATCCTCGTTGAAGAGGTGGGACAGTCAGAAGTCACTGGGAGCAGGGCTATCCTTGCTGGTTTGAGCTGCAAGACCTTGTTTAAAGGGATGATGAAGGGAGTGGTGAACACCACCACGGAAAAGGCAAGCAAAGGAGACAGCTGACAGTCACGAGGTAAAACCCCAGAAACGGACACATACTGAATGACAGCGGACGAGCTAGGCAAACGGGAACCACCACTATTCTGAAGGCACGGGAGGAAGCTCAGAAGTGGGGAGAGGGCAACACATCATATGCTAGAGAGGGGTGGGACTAAAGTCTGAGGAGTGATTTTGAACTTGGGAACAAGGAAGCTGCTGGTCCTGGCAGGAGCAGAGTGTGCTGGCAAATGTTTAACTAGCTCTTAAAAAAAAAAATGTAATTACATACAAAGCTAAGTTTATTCTATATTGAACTGATATAAAGTGTGTGTAGTACAGACTTGACAAACAATAATAAAATAGATGATATTCTTTATTATAAATCCCTGTTGTACCTATGATTTCATAGGTGTTGGGTCCAAACTATAAGTGCATTTCCAGCATGAATGTTGGTTCATACCTTCATTCATGTGTATTTTTTTTTCTAAGATGTATTTATTTTTATCACAAAATCAGATATATAGAGAGAAGAGACAGAGAGGAAGATCTTCCGCCCAATGATTCACTCCCCAAGTTACCGCAATGGCTGGTGCTGAGCCAATCTGAAGCCAGGAGCCAAAACCTCCTCCAGGTCTCCCATGTGGGTCAGGGTCCCAAGGCACAGGTTCCAAGGCCGCTAAAGTCCTTCCCTTGCACATGCTGGGATCCCATATGGTCACTGGTTCTAATCCCGGCGACCCTGCTTCCCATCCAGCTCCCTACTTGTGGCCTGGGAAAGCAGTCGAGGACAGCCCAAAGCCTTGGGATCCTGCACCAGCCTGGGAGACCCGGAAGAGGCTCCTGCCTCCTGGCTTCAAATTGGCTCCAGGTGTTGTGGCCACTTGGGGAGTGAATCAACAGACTCGAGATCTTCCTCTCTGTATATCTAGTTTTCCAATAAAAATAAACAAACATTAAAAAAAAAAACCCTCAAGATTTGAGTGACTTTTTTGTTCAGCTGATGACAGTTCTCAACATCTGGAAAATATTTTCTCAAATGTTGTGTTATTCACAACATAACCATTGCAGACATCACATTCTTAAGTTATTTGGCGTATTTTTAAAAAATTACTTATTTTATTGGAAAGGCAGAAATACAGAGAGGAGAGACAGTGAGTAAGATCTTCCATCCACTGATTCACTCCCCAAATGGCCACAATTGCTGGAGCTGAACCAATTCGAAGCCTCTTCTGGATATCACCTATAGGTGCCAGATCCCAAGGCTTTGGGCCGTCCTCGACTGCTTTCCCAGGCCACAAGCAGGGAGCTGGATAGGAAGTGGAGCTGCCAGAATATGAACCAGCACCCATACGGGATCCCAGCACATTGCTAGGAGACGATTTAGCCGCTATGCTACTGCGCCAGGTCTTTATCTGCATGTTTAATATTTTCTTCTGTCACTTACTTAAAATCATAACCCACAAGGACTGATCTATGTGTTCCATCTGCCAATGTCTGTGGTGTACTGACTTCCAGCAAGGCCAATTTAAAACTTAGCAATTATATACACAATAGAAAATGGTGAAAGCCGGAGAAGAGTACTCTAGGATGGCCCAAAGCCTAGGGACCCTGCACCCTCGTGAGGTCAGGAAGAAGTTCCCAGGGCCTGGCTCCGGATTGGCTGAGCTCCAGCCATTGCAGCCACTTGGGGAGTGAATCAATAGATGGAAGATCTGTCTCTCCCACTCTCTGTATATCTGATTTTATAATAAAAATAAGTAAATCTTAAAAAAGAAAATTGTACTTGCAACATGAAGTCACAACCAATTTTATGAAATCCCAATTTTGAGAATAATGAGTTGTGAGCATCTTATTGTCTCTTACAGTATTTACTTAATTGTAAGTTACATTCAATACTTGAGTTACACACCTCTGAGCAACCAGTAGTTCCACGTAGGAAAGCAGCCTAATTCCAGCTATAGTCACCCCACATCACTAGCTCCCAGCACAAAAATCCAAGTAATACTGCAAATAGAAACAACTCTGCGGACTATGTGCGAACCATTAAAAGTCCCACATAAGCCTAGAACTTTGAACTACCAACAGGCTCTGTCTTTCAATAACACAGAAAGAATTACGTGATAGAAGACCTAAGTGATCGTCAGGAAGAATCAGATAGGAGCAATCAGGGTGTTGCAAGTCCTGATTACGCAGAGACGCTAATCACGCATCATGCGAACTCCAATCATCATGTTCTATCCCTCCCGAAGGAGGAACAGGTAAGGATTAACCCACCTGACGATAGCGAACAAGCTGCAGCCATTCTTTCTTCAGAGGAAAACATTCCCTTACAGTGAGGGTGAATAGGCAACGCGTTCGTCTGAGACATCCAGTTATCTTCACTTATTCCAATTGTATTTCTACATTCACTTAGCATCCTTTACATAATCTTTTTCCATTCGGCTGCCAAAAAGGAGTAAACTAACCCCTCCCAGAATGCAATGCTCACCTACAGATTAGCAATTTCCAAGCTTGCGCACTGTTTTATTTGCATATCCCCGCCCCGTCAGCGCTCTGCCGTAATAACCAAAATAGAAGCGACACCCGTTATTTCATGGGCAGGAAAGCAAGCTCTTCAATAGTTTGGCCACCCCAACTGCTTCCTGAAAACTCTATAAATCTGGATCTTACTACAAAACACATTTTATTTATTACAAAACACTGACTCAAATGCCGATAATCCCGACCTGAGAGATAATTATCCCAACACTGAAATCCACCGCCAACCAGCCAGTTTCGGGGGCTCCATGCCTCCTTTTTTCCTGGAACGGAAAGTTTCTTGCTCATCCAGCCTTTTTCTCTGCGGTCTTGCAATAAAAGCGATCAGAAATCAGAAAGGTTTCTTTTTCAGCCCAAACACGGCGATGAATAATGCCACTTCGGTGACAGCTGGGAGTGCACTGTGGAGGACGGTGGAGAGTTTAATATAAACCCCCAAGTCCACTATTAAATACCCAACTCTACAACCACACACACACAGACTGTACAGGGTGAGACTGTAGGGACACTTCAAAAGATTACAGAATGATGAATGGATTTGGTGTCTCAACCGCTAAAGAAAGAGCCGGATGTAGGGGTGGGGAGCAAGCCTTTAGACTGGGGACAGCCATCCCCGCCAAATCCCCAAATACTGGGTTCCATCGCACCTGCAGAACACAAAAATGTACCAGTACGTGGTGCACTCCCAACGCTCGAAAATGAAGAAGGACAGTGCTACAGATGCACTGCAGTGCGCACCGATGGCTGGGGAACACACAGCAGAGTCAAGGAGAGTTTTGGGGACCACAGGTAGTGATGGGCTAGGGAAGGGTCCGCCTTGGGGGCTGGCATCTCAACTGGGGTTCGGCTCCCTGGCACACCGCAAGAGCCAGAGTCAGCACTTTGGAGTGCTAAGACAGCCAGGGCTGAGCCTGCAACACTTGAGGTCCCAGGTCACCAGCACCCCACACCTAGGTACATGGGGAGCAGGTAAGAGTGGGCCCCCAAGCCTCACGTTTGCTTGATGCTCTCTGGCTGAAATCGCCCCCTGCTCCACAATCTGAAAATCAAGTGAACCCTCCTAGGCCCTTTTTCCACACTCCTGCCCCGGGGACAGAAGGGCTTCGCGCCAGCGAAGGCAGCTGTGATGCAAGGGGGTGGCGGGGCCAAGCGGACAGGCGGGAAAAGGATACAGATGAGGCTCTGGGTGCTGTTGAACATGGAGACTCCCGAGAGGAAACCGGCCAGCTCGACCGCGAAGAGGCCCAGGGTGACCGAGAGGGCGGCCAGCAGCCTGCACACAGCAAGGGCCAGGGGCTCAGGCCTCGGGACTGGCAGCCCTCCCTCCCCTCCAGCTACCTCGGGGTCCGACCGTCCCGCTCCGTCCCCAAGAGCTCACTCCAAGTCCCGCTTCTCATACTCCTCGCGGGTGAACCTGATGGGCAGGCAGGCCTGGACGTTGCTGTCCTGGGGGAGCAGGGCAGAAAGGAGAGCGGAGGTGAAGATGGAGTGTGCATGGCAGGACTCCCAGTGGCTAAGGCCAAGGGCGGGGTGGGGAGAGGGGGAGACTCCAGGTGACCACGGGGAGGCCAGAGGGCAGCCGTGGGTTCTTACCCGGGACCAGAACAAGGTGATGACCACCACCAGATGGGCCAGCAGCGTCAGGAAGCGGGAGGGCACGAGCCCCGAGACCCGGCTCATCGTCCCTTCAGGGAGAGGCGAGGTCCACAGGCTCCTCGCTGCAGGGATGGGGTCGCCAGCGGAGAGCAAGCTCCGGGGACGCCGCTTCCCGCGCCCCAGGCGCCGCCCCGTTGCCGTGGTAACCGGACACGCGGGGCCGCGCACCCGGAGGGGCTGAGGATCTCGCGAGAGCCGTGAAGTCTCGAGCCGCCTCCACGCGGTGTCGGTGGGCGCCCCGGGGACGCGCGGGTCTCTCCCCGGCTGTGCGCGCTGACGTGGCCGGGAATGGTGCCCTGGCGTAGGAGTAGCTGGGGGACATGGGGAGCTCAGCGGCCTCGCGTGGTCACGGGAACGTCAGGCCTGCCTGGAGAAGGACTCTCCCCTCCTCAACCCCCGTCCGACATCTTGGCGGCCGCCTAGAACTAGGCTCTGGATGCGGGAGGGCTGGCGGTGGGCAGGGAAGGGGGTGCGACAGACCCTGCGCCCCAGCTGAGGTCAGGAGCCGGCTCTGCCTGTCGGTCCTTCTGGGGTCCGATGGCCTCTCGCTGTCCACGTTGCTGACCTCGGGCCTCACTGGAAAGTCGGCCTGCATTTCTGAGCACAGTCATGTCCCCTCCGTGGCGCAGCGCCTTCAAGTCAGAAAACCGGATATAGGATGTTAGCTAGCTCTTAAAGCGGAGACTTAAACGTGCCTAAGCACCTTCACCTCCAAGCATTTCTGACTTATGTATTCATTTATTCAATAAATTGACCACCTAGTTAACTGCCAGGAACTGTGCGGGGCTCTGGCAGGCCATCCACCAGCAAGAAAAAAGCCCCTGCTTCTCTTTACTTCAAAGGCAGAGATCTCACATCTACTAATTGACTCTGGAAATGCCCCTCCTGGAAGATGGACAGTTAATATGCAGACAAACAGTATCGGCAAGGTAAAAAGTGTTATAGTTAATGTTAAGTCTAAAATATGTTTATTGTGGAGCTGGTGCCATGCTCTGCTAGCATCCCATGTAGGCGTGGGTTCAAGTCCTGGCTGTTCCGGTTTCCTGCTAATAGCCTGGGAAAGCAATGCAGGATGGCCTAAGTGCTTGGGCCTCTCTCACATGGAGACCTGGAAGAAGCTCCTGGCTCCTGGCATCAGACTGGCTCAGCTCTGGCCATTGCAGCCACTTGGGGAGTGGTCCAGTGCATAGATCTTCCTTTCAAATGACACTTTCTGTACCAGCTGCTGTCACGCATTTCCCCCCACCCCCATTACATGTGGGCAGACGGAGTGTTCCAGAATCAAATCCGGCAGAGCTAGCAGAGCACAGCACGGTTCCCCGGCTCCTTCTGCTTATTTTTCATGTGGCTTTCTTGAGTTGGCTTGGGCAGAATCAATAAAGGCTGCTTGTTTCCCACTCAACTTTTTCTCTGATTTCCACACTAGCCGGACTTGAATTTCAGTTGAGATCTGGCCAGCACCAGTGTGGAGGTCCTTGGCAGCCATGAGGTTCCGCTCCCACAGGGACATCTCCAGCTCCAGGGACCCCGTGAGAGAGACAGCCCATCAGCTCCTGGAGCCCAGTGTGGCTTCTGCTTGAATTCCAGCTTGATTTTTCTATTTTTTTAAAAAACTTTTTATTTCAAAGTCAGGTTTTTCCCCCCCAAAGATTTTTGTTGTTGTTGGAAAGGCAGATATACACAGAGAAGAAGAGACAAAGATCTTCTAGGACTGGAACCTCCTCCGGGTCTCCCACACGGGTGCGGGGTCCCAAGGCTTTGGGCTGTCCTCGACTGCTTTCCCAGGCCACAAGCAGGGAGCTGGATGGGAAGTGGAGCTGCTGGGATTAGAACCAGTGCCCATATGGGATCCTGGTGCGTTCAAGGTGAGGACTTCAGCTGCTAGGCTACCATGCCAGGCTCATACTTCATTTTTCTAATCAAGGGAAATTTCAAACACATGTGAAAATCAAGTCACCAATATAGTGAACCCCCTGAGGTTCCTTGTTGGGCTTCACCAGTTACCAAAATGGGTCAGCCTTGTCTCCCCTCCTCCCTCATCATATACCCTTCCATGTATTTCATGAGATGTTTGCATCAGGGACCAAATAAAGTCCACTTGACTGACATGTCATAATTTCTCCTCAGGTTTCCCTCCCACCCCCCACTTGATCCTGTCCCCTTCCTTTTCTTGCTAAAGATACAGGGCCCTCTGTGGATCCAGTTCTCATCGTGTCATTTCTTCCCCAGACCCTTTAGTTGCCGGAGATCGCTGGTCACATCTGATGGTGGACCAATCTCACACTCAATGTTCCGGTAAGAACACAGCACGAGGCAGCGTCTGCCCCTTCTCCACCTCCGCAGGAAGCCTGCCAGTCTTCTGTGGGGCTAAGGTGTGAGCAGGCACTCAGGCAAAGGCATCTCACCTGATGGGTCTACATTGCCCAACTCATGATTTCCTTAACAATTGCAAAATGCGGCATGTCCTACTTCTATCCCTCCTTCTGCATGGGTCAGCTAGGATTCTTCTGTCTGTACGAATTTGCCCCATCACCTTTTTATTTTCCATGAGGTGTGGGTCATGTGGGAAAGCAGGATGTGTGTCCATTATTTTTACATATTTTGTCAGTTTTCACAATCATGTTTCTCTAGCATTCTGTAACTTAAAAAAAAACAAACCTTATTTATTTGAAAGGGAGGGTTACATAGAGGTAGAGACAGAGATCTTCCATCCACTGTTTTACTCCTTCAGATGGTCACAGAACCCAGGGCTGGGCCAGTATGAAGCCAGGAGCTTTGTCCAGTTTCCCATGTGAGTATAGGTGGGGGTGGAGTGATAGGTGGGGGTGGGGTGATGGGAATCCTTCTCTGCTTTCCTAGATGCACAGGACCGGAGCTAGATCAGAAGTAGAGCATTCAGGACTTGAACTGGCGCCCACATGGATACATGCATGGATGTCAGTGTCGCATGCAGTGGGCTTCGCTCATGGTCAGTGCTGTGCCCATCCAAAACCAGGATCCAGGAACTTCCTCCAGATCTCCCACGTGGGTGCAGGGTCCCAAGGCTTTGGGCCGGTCCTCTACTGCTTTCCCAGGCCGCAAGCAGGGAGCTGGATGGGAAGTGGAGCTGCTGGGATTAGAACTGGTGCCCAAATGGGTTCAAGGTGAGGACTTTAGCTGCTAGGCCACTGTGCTGGGCCGCCAGGCCTGAATTAGCTCTTTAACAGCATAGTAAACCCACAGATATTAATGCCATTTGTGTATTTCAATCCTTTGTGGTTATTTTTGATGATTTGATTGTCCCTGACATTTTCTTCTTTTGTATGGAGATGAGGTTCACATACTACAGTGGCATTATGGCGTACGGCTCACTGGCCTTGAGCATAAATGCAAGGCTGTATACTCACCATCCCTGTCTAATTCCAGAGTGTCTTAACCAACCCATGACGCTGTCCATCCCCATTTGCGTCCTCCTCTACAACTCCAGCCGTCACCAAGCTACTTCCTGTTGGCATGGATGGACCAATTCTGTGTATTCCATGTAACGGGAATCATTCAGTCTGGGAGCTTTTGGTGTCTGGCTTTTCTCACTTGACGTGCAGGAAATCACAATGAAAACGACAAGTGAGAGATAGGAGCATGAGGGCGAGGATCCAGATGTCCAGGTCAGACCAGGCTAACAGGCTTTGAGAGCTCAGGCCAACCTAATGCCTCGTGCCTTTGTGTCTACCTGTCAGACATGAGGCTTCAAAGACAATGCACTTGGCATCCCAGCAACACTGAACACAGCTGCTTGCTTCTTTCCATCTTGAGATGCTATCTTTAGCCAGTGCCGACAGATGGCTGGTTTGCTTTGCTGTTACTAGGGGCCAGACCCTTCATCCCATCATGCATATTGGTCTCCAACTTTTAAATGAACAGATGAAAAAGAAAAACTAACCTTGACCAGTACACAGCCCTCTCAGACTACCAGCTTTTGGCCTCTGGACCCAATATAGGAAAATATTGCACTTGGCCTCTGTCCACCATGGCAGTCTACTAGTGCCACGTGGCTGCTGAACACTTGTGATAGGCTAGGAAAGCTGGGGAGCTGAACCTGCAAGATTTCGTCTTATGTGCCACCGAGTCGCTCTGTGCCTAGGGTTCTAGTCCATCATTCCTGGCAGCCAGACTCATTGGGCCAATCACCTTTTCAATCAAAATGTTACATCCCACCCCATGCTCTTCAGCTACTCAGTGCTATCTTGTTCCCCCGGAAGCCAGTCTGTTGCCCACCCCTAGGGATTTAGCTAAAACAAGCCCTCATCAATTTTACAGATCCTTTCTGCATCACATATTATAGGAATCGGGCCAGGTGCTGAAATATATATTTCCTACTGCCTAATAGTTTGTTGAGGGATACAACAAGAGAACAATTGAAATGCACATTTTTGGGCTTATCAGGCCAATCCTTTCCCTGCAGCTCCAGCATTCCATCTGGGTGGCAATAGTCTCTGCTGATCTAGCTCCCCGCCTATGGGCTGGGAAAGCAGCAGCTGGGCTCCTTTGCCTGCTTCCCCCCTCCCCTTTGTCTGCCTCCCCTCTCCCCCACCCCACCCACGTAGAAGTTTCTGGTTCCTGACTTGGGATTGGCTGTTGTGGCCATTTTGGGGAGTGAACTGGCTGATGAAAGATCTCTTTCTCTGATATCTCCATGTCTAAGATCTACCTCGCAGATAAAAATATTTTTTTAAAGTATGTATTTCCATTTTTAACCCAATTTTATTTGGAGAGAACAGTTCCCATCCACTGGTTTACTGTCCAAACATCTACAACGTCCTTGACTGAAGCTGGGAGCCCTGGAGTTGGGTCAGGCTGAAGCCAGGAGCCCAAGCTGGGTCTTCCATGCCGGTGGCAGGCACCCACCTAACAACAGCCATCACCACTGCCTCCCAGGGCCTGTATTTAGCAGGATGCTTGAATGGGGAGCCAAGACACAAATCAGACATGGGACACAGGCAGTCTAACTTCTAGACCAAATGTTTATCCTTAAAATGTAGAGCTTCAGTGCTATGCTAGAGATGACACAGGAAAACCTTTTACTATGGAAGTGGGGAGGGCGGTGAGCTTTGAGTGGGAGGTAAGGGGCATCAGTGGGGGAAAAAAGGCAGAGGGATGAGGTTTGGAAAAATGATCAAGCAATAGCAGGGACAGTGACAGACAAGGGACCATCAGTTGAAAATGATTCAGCATGCTGAGAGGGGAGCGGCTGAAGAATCAGATAAAGCTACTTCCACTAAAAGCTGGAAGAATCAGGGCTCGCCACGTCTCCTCTACGGTAAAGAAACCCTGTGCTGGTGGATTATCACCGCTGCCAGTTCACGGAAGAGGACACTGACACACAGGCAGCTGGAAAAAACTAGCCCAGGTTACGTAAGTGCTGAGCAGCAGTGCCAGCAGGTGAACTCTGGCAACCTGGTTCTGTGACCTGGCACCGGGGAACTGCACGTGTCTGCCGTTGGTGCTGGGCGCCATCGACCCACTGCCAGACCGCAGATTCCCACAGGCCGACGTCACACAGCCCGTCCTCGGTTAGGCTTCAAGACCAAGTCGCTGGCTTCTTCCCCTTTTGGCCCAGACTGTGGGAATGCGCTAACGCTGATCCGGGCTTCCACAGGGAGCGGGAGCAGGGCGCGGAGTGCAGACTTTGGCAAGACTTTCACACCAGCTCGGAGGCGAGCTGTGTGGCTGGATTTTGACCTCGTTTTTGGCCTCTTATAACCACTGTGAAGCTCCAGAGCTTCCCACCCCCGCCCCCTAAAAAAAAAAAAAAAGGCTTTGCAAAAAACTTCACCAGGCAGGGAGGGATGACAGGGGCCCAGCTCTCCCCATTGCCCTCAAGCCTTGTGCTTGTTAATTCGATTCTACACCAGGGACCACATTGCGCTTTGGTTAAATGGCCCACAGCCTACAGGCATTGACCTTGTCAAATTAGCACTGCAGCAGGGGGTGGGAGTGGGGATGGGAATGGGGCAGGGAGAGGGGTGGGCACAGGACAGCTGCCCAAGAAAAGGAATGGATAGGCTGTGGCGGCAGAAATGGGCTGTGAGAGAGAATTACCTGCCGGCCGGTGACTCTAAGGGGGCCTCTGGCCGAGTCCACCCCAGGCCGGCCTGTTAGACGGTGACAGGCAGCGCGGTCTGTCTCCCCACCTTCCTTCTCAAGGCACTGGGCCCCTTCCGGTTTCAGAGACACTTTCTCCCAGGTCCCCCCAACTCTGACTCACTGGAGGGAGCTTAAAACAAAACATTCCCAACGGTGATAGGGATGGAAATCTCAGCAGTGGTTCTCTCCAGGAAGGGAGGGGCGCGCGTCCATTGAGAAGGGACGCGAGGAGAGTGGCTGGAGCGTCCTGGGTGGCACAGGTGCGCGAATCGGTCGAAGCTCGTTAGGATGCACCAGGAAGGTCCGTCCTGCTCACCCCCAGGTACGTCGTCTTCACCACGGTCTGCCGGATTCTCAGCCCGGTCCCGCCCGCGCTGCGCACGCCTGGTGGTCGCCCTCGATGCCCGGCTTGCCCCACCGGACAGGTGGGCGGATGCAGCCCCTGCACCGGCTCCTCGAACCCGTGACTGCCGCGTCGCCCACCCCGATGACAGCTGCCATGAACAGACCTGTCCCGGGCCTTGGCCGGCCGACCTCGTGGCGCAACGGTAGCGCGTCTGACTCCAGATCAGAAGGTTGCGTGTTCAAATCACGTCGGGGTCAGTTTCTTTTTTTTCCAAATTCTCCTCCTATTAGTTTTTATTTATTTCCCCCTTTGTTTTCGGCCTCAGCGCTCCCGTAGGAGACCGGGCACCTTCTTCTCCGGGGTCAGAAGGGGAGGGCTTCTGGTGCCCAAGTCAGAAAGAGGGGCTTTGGGGCGGGTTCGATGCCGAAATCCTGAGGAAAAATCAAGCTCCTGAGGAAAAAAAAACAGGCGCGCAGCCCCCGGGGTGGGGGAGGTCGGGGGAGGCGCAGCTCCCGGTTCCTCGTGTCCTCCGGTGTCCTCGCCGGAGTGGCCGGGGTGGGGTGGATGTCGCGGCAGGGGTGGCCGGGTGGTCGGGGTGCGCAGCCGGGGTGCCCGGGGTGTCCGGAGTCCGCAGCCGGGGTGCCCTGGGTGGCCGGGTGGTCGGGGTGCGCAGCCGGGGTGCCCTGGGTGGCCGGGTGGTCGGGGTGACCGGGGTGTCCGGAGTGCGCAGCCGGGGTGCCCTGGGTGGCCGGGTGGTCGGGGTGCGCAGCCGGGGTGGCCGGGTGTCGGGGTGCGCAGCCGGGGTGCCCGGGTGCACATCCTTCATGGCGAGGCGCGCGCCGCGGGCGGCAGGCGGAACACAGCTGCCTGAGAGCAGAAACGTGAATCCTAACGTGTGGACGAGGTGGCCGAGTGGTTAAGGCGATGGACTGCTAATCCATTGTGCTCTGCACGCGTGGGTTCGAATCCCATCCTCGTCGGCTAGGGTCTTCCCTTACAGTTTTGTGTTTCGGACTGAGGAGTCAGCTTCCTTTGCTGTTTGCGGGTCATCCCCGCAGTCTTTCTCTCTCCAGGCCCCTTTCTGACTACATTTTCCAGTGCGATCACGCAAACTAACATTCCTTCATCCTCTGTGGAGCTGACCGGGCCAAGAAAAAATGGCACGTCACGGTTCCAGCAGGCGCCGTGGCTTAGTTGGTTAAAGCGCCTGTCTAGTAAACAGGAGATCCTGGGTTCGAATCCCAGCGGTGCCTCCTTCCTAAAGCTTTTGCAAACGGCGGGCAATGTTGCAAACGTGTCCTCAGCGGTTACCCACTCGCAGACCTCTAGGCTGTTTTGCAGCCATGCGTTAGGACGTGGTCGCGTTTGTCACTTATACACATGGATCTGCGGCCCCAGTGCGGCAGTGACATCATCCACGCTTTGCAGTATTGAATTTTCATCGTTGACTGTTGGAAAGTGCTCAGTGGGTTCGTTTCCATGTTGTGTTTTCTTGTTTTCCAAACGCAATGAGTCATTTCTGAGGGCTGAATAATTGTCTAAATTGACATAACCTTCTGAGGAAATCTCATTGCAGCTGGCCGGTTAGCTCAGTTGGTTAGAGCGTGGTGCTAATAACGCCAAGGTCGCGGGTTCGATCCCCGTACGGGCCAGATAGTACCTTTTTTGGCGGATTTTATTTCTAAATCATATAAAACTTCAAACGCCAAAAGAAACTGCCAGGTTGTCAAAAGGACTAGGGGCGTGCCCTCAGGAGAGGGAATTTAGAAGATCCCATGTTCTTCCTCAGATTTGTTTCTATATCTCAGGGCCATAACATGTGGCCCTTGGAGTTGTTGTGTGAACTGTAGAGTGGGGACGCAGCGGTCCCAAACCATCCCCTGGGGCCGGGATGAGAGGCGCTCAGTGACCCCAGAAAACACCCCCTTCCCTGTTCCTCCTCAAGAGCCTCCCTGGGAGTCTGCACCCCGGAGGTGCTGATGTATCTCACATCGCTCTTAGATCTGCTAACAGCCGGCACCCCATTCGTCTCCATCTAGCCCGGGACTCCCACCCCACGAACAAGCACGCTCAACCCTCTTGCTTCCGCTCCTCCAGCCCTGCAGCCCCCCCACAAACACAGCGTCAGCCTTAGCAGCAGCAGCATTTTAATTCCACAAATAAAAACCTCAGAAAGCCCAAACGGATTCAGACCCTCCACAGCAGGGGGGCCACAGTTCTCCCAGCACCGGGAGAGCGGCGAGAGGCCGTCCGCCTCTCCCTCCACGCCACGCGAAGCTGTTCCTCCGAGCTCCACCCTGGTTCTGGCTGGGGCAGGGGGTCTGGGAAGGCAGGCCCCAGTGGTCAGAGGCAGGTTAGGCACCTGCAGGCGTGCGTCCGACCCAGATCCCACAGCCCCCCGGCGCGGGGCTGGCGTCAGGATGGCCACAGCGGCTGGGGCCTCCTCTCGTCCCTTCTTGATCGCGCGTGGGAGTGGTGTTTCCCCTTCCGAGACCTAAAGCTCCAGGTCGGCGGGGAGGACGCCCTGGCTAAGCGGCAGAGTTGGGAAGCACAGAGGTGGGGTAGCTACAGGTGGCCAACTGAACAGAAGCGAGCAGCGTCCCTCCCCGCCGGGGAACACCCGTTAGCGCTTCCTCCCGGCCCGGAACCTCCGCCGCAGGCAGGCCGCGTCTGCAGAGCCGCCAGCCCCCAGCCGGGGCTCCTTGCAAAGTCCCTCGGGCTCGGGCTCGGGGATCGTGCGTGGACCCGGGTCCCGGTCACTTGCACAGCGCCTCCAACACCTCCAGCGTGCGTCGGATATCCCGCACCTGGCGCGCCAGCCCCTGCACGGGCTGCAGCGCCCGCTCCAGCTCCTCGCAGCGCGCCAGCAGGGTGTACATGCCCTTGATGCTCATGTCCACGGCCTCGCCTAACGAGTCCACGGCGTCGCGGTAGGTCTGGATGCAGCCCACGCTCAGAGCCGTCAGCTCCTGCACCGCGCCGCCCAGCCCGCGGAGCAGCCGGTCCACGCGGCCGCCCAGCTCCCGACTCAGCCTCTCCAGGTCCCGCAGCACGTCGGGGTCGATGGGCGGGATGGCGGGAGGCGGGGCGGCCGCCGGGCAGGAGCGCGCCGGGGCTGCGGCGGGGGGCGGCGGCGGGGCGCCGCTCAGCCGGATCTTGAGCTGCAGGTTGTTGGCGACGAAGTGCGTGAGGTCTCCGTGCCGGCTCACCGTGCCCTCGAGCTCCAGCGGGCTGGAGATGGTGGCCCGGCGGCCGCCGCTGCCCGCGCCGCCCTCGGCGCCGCCGCACGCCCCGCTCAGCCCGTCCAGGCTGCGGCTGTCCTGCAGGCGGCTGGAGGACGAGCGGCCCAGCCTGCCGGCCGCCGCCTCCTCGTCACCGTCGTCCTCCTCGAGCGCCGCCTGCTCGCCCTCCATGCCGCCTCCCGCGCCCCCTCGACGGCAGCGCGCGTCCTCGGGCGGCGGCTCCGGGTCCCGGCGCCGGGAGGACACGGGCGGGTCGGGGTCTGCTGGCGCCCCCCGGCGGCCCTCGGGTCCAGCCGGCGTGGCTCGGGCGCCGGGCTCGTCCTCCTCCTCCTCCCGGGGCGGCCGCTGGACGCCGCCGCTGCAAGTGTGAGAGGAGGACGCGCGGAGGGACCGGCTCGCTCCCGCCCGGTCCTCGGCCTCTTCCTCCCCCGACACCCGCAGGAGGCCTGAGGGCGGCTCCGAGGACGGCCGGCCCGGCCCGCCGCGGCACCGCGCGGCCTGCGGCTGCGGCACCGGCAGAGCCACCAGGTCCGCGTCGGGCCCGGGCCGCCCCCGAGGCGACTCCATCGCGGCAGGCGGGGGGTCCCCGGCCGGCTCGGAACTGGTCCAGCCGGGCGGCTGCAGCGACGGCGCGGCGCCTTTAAGGGGCGTTGGTAAGAGGCGCGCCGATTGGCGGCCGGCTGACAATGGTCAGGACAGGAAGAACGCGTGGATTGGCTGTGGCGACCAGGAAGTTCCGGAGCAAGAGCTGTGATTGAACGGCCCGGCCCACGTGAGCGCCCGTCCCGCGGCGCTCGTCGCCCCGCCCTCCCGGAAAGTTGAAGGGGGCAGATCTTAAAGACGCAGGTCCCCAAATACCCGGAGCCCCGCGGGTTGCACCCGTCATCGTCCCGCCCGCAAACAAACCAGGCAAGTGGGGACCAGGTTTGAGGTTCCCAAGGCAGGTTCTTAGGATGCAAACGGTTACGAGGATGTAGATCATAGAGAGATAAGAGATTAAGTCATGGATCTGCAGCCTGGACCTTCGGGATGAACCTGCACCTGGCTGACCACCGTAGCTGAAGCCAGCGTTCTCACAGAACCTCAGGGTTCGTTACCTCGTCTTCGGTTGGCAGAAGTGGCCGTTGAACTGGCCGCACGACTCGTGCTGGACAGGGCAGCAGACTTAAACAGTGCCTTTGCCATCTCTTTTCTGTTGTGCTTATCTCTCTCTCTTTCTCTCTCTCCCCTCTCTGGAGGAGGGTATGTGGGCTTTGCAGGAAACTCTCACAAGTTCTGATGAGCTCTGATAAGTTCTGATAAGCTCTGATAAGTTCTGATAAGCTCCAGATAGGAAAAGAGAAGTTCTCATCCATAGCCCCAGTGCCCGGCACACAGTGGTCGCAAGCTGTTAATTTGCTCCTTTGGTATCAAATATATTCAAGATGCAGTTCTTTGTCACTCGCACCCAGAGTCCTGAAAATACCCCTTGTCACCTTTAGTAGCTCCCCTCCCCGCTGCAGCTGTCACCCCATGCCCCCAGCTCACAGACACTAAACCATGTACGTCTTTGTGCATGAGTGACAGGACACAAGCTGAGCCAGTCAGAGCAGCAGAGCAATTTATTGTTTTGCCCAATAAAGGTCTGCAACACGTGTGGGCCTCCGGGAAGCCTGCACTCAGAGGGGTCTTTGGTGTCTGCCTGTTAACTTCCTCACAAAGGCCCAGCAGTCATGTCCTTTGGCCACCTTTTGTGGGATCATTCCCTAATCACCTCTCACTGCTTCTTCTTTGTGGCCTGCCAGGATCCACATCCCAGAATCCGCAGATTCTCCCACGTATAAGCCAAGAGCCCACCGCCACTATCAGTACTGACGTGCAGGCGCCAGCAGCCGGATTGGTCCTGGTTGTGCAGGCTCCAGGACAAGCCTGCCAGTACCTCTGGATGTCTTTTTTATTTAAAGATGAAAATAACAAGCAACTTGTTATGGCCAAGGTCACAGGGCAAATACATGGTGGACAAGGAATTGGAGTTCAAGTGTGCTGGGGAGTGGAAGCTTGTTCTGGCATGCATTACCCCTTGTCTCACAGGCCACTGTTGAGATGGGGAACAGATTACCCACTCCCCAGGAATGCAAAGGAGAGACAATTACCTGCCAACTTATTCTGTGCAAGACCAGAGACAGGGGGAGAGGTGACTTTTCATTTCTTCTTTTTGACATCATCTAGCAGGAAGATCACCATAAATAACCCGGATGGAGCAGAGCCCCAGCGAATTGCACTGTGGCTTGTGGGGTCTTTCTGTGCTGCAGGTTGCAGCCCCTGTGTGCCTTCCAGGGATTGTGGAGGGGGTGGGGCGCAGGGCTTATGTGAGCAATAGACAAGTGTCCTATTGTTTGTGCCTTGCATGAAGGGGGTGGCTGTCACTCTGGATGCTTGGAATTTTCCTGTGCAGCAAATTTGAGGCTGGAGTCACCCAGTGGTGGCAGAATTTTCCTACCAGCAAGCGCCTCCAAGTGTCCAGACTCTGCCCTGGCAAGATGGGTGTGTGGCATTGATTAGGTGAACGCAAGTGCAATGTGTCCTGCAGACAGGTGTTGGATGTTCCACCTAGGGTGTCCTGGTGTCCTCTGCATGAATCCCATTGGTAAGATATGCATCCATGGGAGGGTTTGGGGGATTTTGGCCCAAGCTAGAAGGACCAGTTTCTTGTTGTCTTGATTGCTGTTTGCTTTTAGATTTACTTCTAATTTAAAAGTCAGAATTACAATTTTTTTTTTTTGGTAAAGATTTACTTATTTTAACTGGAAAGGTAGATCTATGAAGATAAGGAAAAAGATGTTGCATCTGATGGCTCATTCCCTAAACAGACACAACAGCCAGAGCTGAGCTGATCTGAAGCCCGGGGCTTCCTCCAGGTCTCCCATGTGAGTGCAGGGTCCCAAGGCTTTGAGTCATCTTAACACTGCTTTCCCAGGCTGCAAGCAGGGAGCTGAACGGGAAGTAGAGCAGCCGGGGGACATAAACTGGCACCCATAGGGGATCCTGGCACTTGTAAGTGAAGGATTAGTCAGCTGAGTCATGGCACCAGACCCAAGAAATCTCCTACCCACTGGTTCACTCTCCAAATGGTCATAATGACCAGCTTTGGGTCAGGCCAAATCCAGGAGCTAGGTGCCCCATCTGGGTCTCCCATGCGGGTGTCAGGAACCCAAACACCTGGGCCTTCCTACACTGCCTTTCCCAGGCCACTAGCAGAGAGCTGAATGGGAAATTGGAGCAGCTGGGACCTGAACTGCATCCACATGGGATGCCTGGGAATTGGGCAGTGGCTGCACCCGCATGCCATGGTCCCTGCCCTATTTTCTCAGAGATGTAGGAATGGGGATCATGAGGGTGGGGGGCTATGGGGGAATGTTGTTGTCTTAGTGAGTAAAGGCCCACATCCTGGGAGGTGTCAATGAGTGTTAATGTTAAGGGTGTAAACAATTGGGTCCCCCTACTGTTGCAGGTCAGGGTGCCAGCTGGACCCCCACATTGGTGATATCATCCACCTGAGTGTACTCTACATGCCAGCAGCATCTTGCTTTCTCTGGCTTGTCCCCAGAGGCACACAGAAGGCACTGGTATAATGCTAAACAACTTGTCCATCTGTAGAATGGCTTGACAGAACCAATCCCAGAAGGATCTCCATCAAGGGTTATGGTGCAGCAATTGAAAAAACAAAAATGCAAATACGCAAACCATCATAGCCTCTGAGACATCAACAGCAGCAAAAATCAAATGGCAAGAAAATGCAAATGGTGAGATGCCATTTACATGAAAGACCCTCCCCACCAACCACCTGCTAACAATATTCTAATGTCCAGAATATAGATATGGCTAGAGCTAAGTTCTGAGGACAGCGACCCAGTGTCCACCACTGCTGTCACGCAGGGCATGCAGCTTCCTCCTCCTCAAGGCCTCCATTCAGAGATATCCACACACATATTACAAAAGCCTCAGCTTTTATTAAATAAAAAAGAGCTAGAAGACAGTAAAGGGACCAGGCCAGGATTCACTCCCTTCTACCTGCATATGCACCTTCATACACACACACACACACACACACAAAACCAAGGCAATCAGGGGACAGACTGCAGGGTTGAGGGGGGCAACACCCGCCTAGAGTGGGCCCGGACCCAAGGGTGGGCTGAGACCTGGGCCAGAGAAATGCGATCAGAGGGGTTGTGTTTGAGCAGCTTTGAGATGAGGTCCTGGGCCCCTGTGGGCACTGATGGGGGGAACTTCAGGTCCACCTGCAGGGTTGGGGAGACAAGAAAGACCCCCACGCTTGTTTCCTCCTTGCTACCATTCCACCTGAGTTATGCAAGGATCCAGGGACCCACTTGCGACTCTCCCAGCCCCAGGCCTCTGCAGCCCCGAGCCCCCAGCAGCTCTCCCACCTTGACAATGCGCCGATACGTCTCATTGTGGGACGCGCTCTCAAAAGGTGGGTTCCCCACCAGCAGCTCATAGCAGAGCACTCCGATGCACCACAGGTCCACTTTCTCGTTGTGCGTGTGCCCTTCAATCATCTCGGGGGGCAGGTAGTCTAGGGTGCCACACATGGTCTTCCTCCTGGTGGGACAAAGGAAATGGCAAGGGGGGGTCCCTGCAGCTAAGAGATGCCTCCTACCAGGGGGATTCCACCTGCAGAGGCAGGGCTCCACTTGGGCACTGCACCCGAGGGCCGTGGGGGCAGGTTAATGTGACACACACCAGAGCCCCATAAGTGAATTCCATGCTGTCTCGTACACTGGGGGCTTCAACAGGGCAAGCAGGAGGGCAGCAATCGGGGGCATCTCTAACGCCCATCAAGCTGACTGCCTGAAGTGACTCAGGCTGCCTTTCCACTATGCCGAATCAGGAAGCATTTAAAAATAGCATGGGGGGAAGGGTTTCCAGTGACCACAGCAGGAGAGAGAGGTCCTGCAAGGCCCGGAGCACCTGGGTGTCATGACAGTGCAGGAAGGGATCCCCCCACCTCCTCCAAGCCTCATGTGCCAGCCTCATGCCCAGTGCTGCTTACCGCAGGGAGGGGGCGTGCACGGACCAGCCGAAGTCGGCGATCTTGAGTTCTCCCTGCAACCCCAGCAGCAGGTTCTCTGGCTTGATGTCTCTGTGGATGACTTTCTTCTCATGGCAATACCTCAGGGCATCTGCCAACTCCTCCATGATCTGGCAAGGCCAGCAAGGGCATTCAAACGCAAGGCCCGCCCTCCTCCAGCTTCCAGCAATGAGTCCCCAGCCTCACACCCCACTCCCTTACACCCCCCGCCGCCCTGTCCCGGCCCACCAGTGCCCACCAGCCCCAACCGTGGCTGTTCGTTGCTCATCAAAGGTACGGCTCTTCTGCAGCTCCTTGTAGAGCTCGCCGCGGGGGGCATACTCCAGAATCAAGTAGATCCTCCTCCCGTCGTAGAAATAGTTGTAGAGGCGTAGGATGTTGGGGTGCCTGCAGGAGGAGGGAGACAGGAGGCTTCAGGCTGCAGCTGGGCATAAAGCAAAGATGACAGGACCTAGAGCGGGGCAACCCAGGTCAGACAGGCTGCCAGTGGCAAAAGGGAACAGGGCCAGCTCTCAGAATTCAAGACTGGTGCAGACTGAGCACCAAAGAGACCGCCATCTAGGAGTGGTGGGACTGCCCTGGGAGTGAAAGGGCTTGGGAGGTCCCAGGGTGGGGTCGTACCGCAGGTGCGCCTGGATCTCGATCTCCCTGCGTAGCTGGTGCTCCACACCCTCTTTCTCGATCTGCGACTTGAAGAGGACCTTGAGCGCCACAATGAAATGGCTTTTCTTCTCCCGGGCCAAGTACACATTGCCGAACTTGCCTTTGCCCAGAGGACGGCCGATCTCAAAGTCTTCGATGGTCAAGGGGCGCCTAGGCAACGAGTAGGTGGGCGACAAAACTCAGCGCTGGCTGCTGGGCATCCCAGGTGAGTGCTTCCTGCCCATGGCCACCCCTGATCTCACACTGCACCTGCAGGCTGGGAGCACTTACGTAAAGATGGTGGGTGCCCCACTGCCATTCTCCGTGCCCTTCTGGCCAGGAGCAGCTAAAGAGAGAGCAGGGATGTTGTGACTGTCCTCTGCCATCCTGTGTGCCCCCCTCCCATACAATCCAGTCCCCTCAGTCACTGCTGTCCCACTTGGGCCACTTACCCATGGGCTGGGAATTGGAGCGGTTCATGAGGACCAGGGCCGATGGGGTGGCAGGCTGCTTCCGGAGGACTCTCTGAGGCAGTGTGTTCAGGCCAGACTGAGCCTAGGGAGGGGTAGAGGGGGGCTCTCAGGGACCCGGCTGGAATGTGCTGCACCCAGCATTTCTGCTGCTAGCTCAAGAACTACCCACTCGTGCAACAATCCGCCCCCCGGCCCCTCCGCCGTACTGAGAGAAACCCTGGTGCCACAGTTTGGGGTCTCCAGTTCTAGGACTCTTCTTGGGCCATCGTACAAATATAGGTCAGGAAGGAATAACCCCTACTGGCCGAAAAAACAAAGGAGCAGGGGCCTTCCGGTGCAGAAAAATAACAGGTTAATCCTCCACCTGCCAGCACCAGCATCCCGTACGGCTGACGGTTCATGTCCCGGCTGCTCCACTTTCCAGCTTCCTGCTTGTGGCCTGGGAAAGCAGTAGAGGATGGCCCAAGTTTTTGGGCCCCTAAGCCCATATAGAAGATCCAGAAGAGAGTACCGGCTCCTGGCTTTGGACCAGCCCAGCTGTGGTTGTAGCAGCCATTTGGGGAATGAACCAGCAGGTGGAAGATCTCTGTAACTCTGACTTTCCAAGTAAAACAAATAAAAAGGTCTTTTAAAAAAAGAAAACACAGTTGTAGACAACCCCCTCCCCAATACCTAGCATCCTTCACCATCACCTTCTCAAACATGGGCTTCCAGTCTTGTAGTTCTGTCTCTAACCCAGTGTCCGGGGAGGCCTCAGTCAACCCATGAACAACCCATGACTGTGACACACACAGACAATTGTCCACAACCTCCCAGGAGCCTAGTGTAGTGCAACTCAGAGGTGGTGGTGCTGGCAGGCCTTGCTCATTGCTATTGCCCAGGCACTACACTGGGGCCTTTTGCAATGCCACAGACTTTAGGGCTAGTCTGGTGGCTCTCTAGGAGGGTCCTAGGACCACTAATCATCTGCTTCCAAACTGTAATGGACAAACATCTGATTTGAACAACAGGCAGTCTACAGAGTTGCCTCTCCGTGCGAATTACACACCTAACAGGCAGCACTTGAAAGCAGAGGGTAGACTCTGCATGGGCAGCAGCTGTCAACCAGATTCTTTACACCTGCCACCCAAACCTGCTCCACACCACACTATTCAGACCCCTGGGGGAGGAAGGGGTAGGTGGCACAACATGGCCAGACTCAACCTTGCCTGCAAACTTTTGGGCCTCCCATTTGGCAGGATAAGGAGGAAGGCAACGCTAAGAGGGATCACCCCTCTATAACAGAACCTCCAATCTTTGCCCCCCGGGGTGGGGGGTGGGGTCGGGGGCTTACCGTGGGGCGACTGTAGGGCCAGGGGTAGGCGTTCTCCTTCTGGGCCATTCTTCTAGGGGAAGGGGGAGGGTAGCAGGGCGCAGAACGGAAAAGACAGCCCAGATCAGCAGAATAACTAAGAAGAGGGATCGGACCGAACTAGGCAGAAGCCCTGGGCGGGGCTGGCGGAGGAGAGCGGGTCACACCGGCCGAGACGCACGCAGCCCGGGTCCCGCAGCTCTCGCCCACCCCTTCCGGGATCCCGGAGCGCTCAGCAGCCTGGCGAGGCGCGCGCGGGCCCAACGGACCCTGGCGAGCTGCCGGCCGCCTGCGCTCTCCCGGAGCCCGCTGCTGCCCACGGAGGAGGCCAGCTCACCTTGCGGGCCGCTGGCCGCCGACCGACCGACTTCCCCGGGGGCCGCGGCGGACGACTGGGCCTGCCGGGACTGCGCCTCCGCCGAGGCGCTTTCAAATCTCCCGCTCGCGCCCCATTGGCTGAAGGCACTCCGGGCCCGGTTCGCATTGGCCGCTTCGCCTGTGGCGTAGACTCACGTGGACCAATGGGAGCCGGCGGAATGAGAGCGGCCGCAGGTGGGGTGCCGGAGTTGGCCAAGTTTCTCCAAAGTTTTACTTCTTCCTTAGGTTGGGGAGGACGGGGGGGTATTGAACCTAGAACCCGAGAGGAGTCGTCGGTCCGTGCCAGACGTCAGCCACAACAAGACGAGGCTGCGTCCTGGGTCAGCACCCCGCCACAGGGGCTGGATTCCCGTAGGACATGATTCGGATGGCGCCGAGGAAGGCAGACACGGTTTCAATGGCTTCTGCACTTTTAAGGTTTTTATCAGATATTCAAGGATGCAAATCAGTGTGACCTACGCCCTGGAACTGTCTCCCTCGCAGCATCTAGGCCACCCTCTCCCTAAGCAAAAATGCACGGCTACTCAAGTCTCTTTTATAAGACGGTGTGGGATTTATCTAGAATCTTCACTCAGCTGCCTCTTAAGTACTTCTTAGAGGACTAAGAATTCTTAGAATGCCTGCTAGCTAAACGTTACAAGTCAGCGGGTTTTATGGTGTCCTGTTCAGTGGGAAAGCCTGGACAGGGCATTCCCCTGTCTCACCCACGCTCCTCCAGACAATCTGGATCTACGGTGGTGGAGTCTGGGGAAGGCTGGCTGTACTTGGGTCTATTTGAGTCTTAATGTTCACGTCGTTATTGTCTTGTCCTTGAAAGCCCTCGCTGTTCAAGGAGGAATTTCCCCATCAGTGGACATCTCTCTGCAGGGTTCTTTGAGCACTGTTACTTATTTTCCCCTGATTTTTTTTTTTTAAATTGGAAAGGCAGATTTTGACAGAGAGAGGAGAGACAGAAAGATCTTCCATCTGCTGGTTCACTCCCCAAATGGCCAGAAGAGCTGGAGCTGAGCCAGTCCGAAGCCAGGAGCCAGGAGCTTCCTCTGGGTCTCCCACGTGGATGCAGGGTCCGAGGCTTTGGTGCTGTGTTGCAGGACGTTTAGCAGGGAGCTGGATGGGAAGTGGAACCGCTGGAACTTAAACTGATATGGGATGCTGGTTCTGTGAGTAGAACATGGGCTCATATACCTGTGAGCCGCCTCTTCCTGATTTTTCAAATCCTCACAATTACAGTCTCCCAACTTGTAAAGGCTCAGTTTCTCCCTTGGACCCCTCCCCCACTGCCTGTAAGTCCTCCCACGCCACCCCGTTTTCAGAGAACAATTATTCTTTCAGGAAGAGGAGCATCCCTTGAGACAGACGAAATGTCACCAAGCGTACAAGGGCAGCAAGGTGACCGCAAGGTGACTGCAAAGCTCCATGGTGTCCACAAGCCTGCACACACACACACACACACACACACACACACACACACACACACAGCCATGCCGAAGAAGCACAAGGGACATTGCCTGCAGCCTGTACCTCCCTTCCACGCTTCTTCAGCTCCTGCCACTGTACCTTGTGCCCTTCCCCGAGCCACAAGGGAAGGTCACTTGGAGCGGGAGATCTTCCTGTGCCTGACCATGCAGATGGTCACCTCCCCCCAGGTGACAGGCTCGTGGTGCTGATCCAACAACCGCTGAGGAAAAGAGGAATACATAGTGGGGTGCTTGAGCGCCTATCCCTTTGGTTCTAACGCTGACCGGCTCCCTCTGCCTCAGGGGAGCGGCTTGTGTGTCCTGTGTGTGCTGTTCAACCGTGGGAAAAGATGAAGGGACCTCTTGATTCTCTTGGGATGGCAAGGTGGTAGCCTTCCCTTTTACTGGGAAAAGCAGGCGCTTTGTTAAGCAGCACCCATGGATTTTTCTGTGGCCAGGACTGTGTCACCTGACTACTGCAAAGGAGAGAGCGTGCGAGGATCAGCACATCTTCCACCCTTGTCCTAGAGCCACCATCTCACTGCAGCAAGGGAGAAGTGGTGGAGACAGGTTCCTTTGCTCAGCGTGGAGGAAGGTGCTTGAAATACCTTATCAGAGTTTCTGGGTTCAAGTCCCTGCTCTGCTTCTTGACCCAGCTTCCTGCCATGCAGTAGTGACGATTTGGTCTCTGCCACCCAGGTGGGCAGACCTAGATGAAATTCTCAGATCCTGGCTTCAGTTTGATCCAGCTTTCAGTGTTACAGGTATTAGGGGAGTGAATAAGAGGACACTCCTTTGTTCTCTCAGTGCGGTATTTGCTATAAGCAACATTGGTGAACCACAAAAGAGCGCGCAGCCACTCAAAACATTACACATGAAATGACTCATAATGAGGGGGTGAAATCCAATTTGAATCCCACAGTAGGGAATCCCACAGTAGGGTAGGGGTTGAAAACAAGTGTATCCGTTGACCCCGACGTGATTTGAACACGCAACCTTCTGATCTGGAGTCAGACGCGCTACCGTTGCGCCACGAGGCCCCTGCAAACCCACATTTTGGGGGATTCTGTAAACAGAAAGACCATCAGCAACAAGAGGCGGAGTTTTTGCCTACACGTCCCGTCTGCCGGGCGCTAGCTCGGACCTGCGTGCAAACGCACGTAGGAATTTAAACTCACCAACCTCTGAGTAAAAGTCGGAAGCAAACCATGCTGCGGCGCACCTGGCTCCCGGCCGAGGTCTTTGGCTTCGGGGCGCCTTGTGCTCGCCGAGCGGGGACGTGGCTTTCCGTGTTGGGGATTTTTCCCCCCAGGGCTACAGCCACGCGCGGCCGCTGCTCCCGTCCGTTCCAGCCACCGGCAGACGAGCTGTCCGTGCACGTCTTATGTAGCTTCAGGAAGCGGGTCTGCTCCTGTGTGCGTTGGTGGTATAGTGGTGAGCATAGCTGCCTTCCAAGCAGTTGACCCGGGTTCGATTCCCGGCCAACGCATCTCCCTGTTTTGGCGCTTCTCACTCCCGCCATCTGCAGAAACCTTTTCCTGAAAGTCTCCCCTGGCCTCGCCACCCCATCCGGCGAAGGGCAGCTGTGCCCTGGGCCTCGGACCGCGGACTCTGCGTGGACGCAGGTTCCGTCCAGTCGCAGACGCCCAAGGAGGCAGGGGAAGCACCGCGGACTCCTCCCCGCGCGGCCACTGCTGGACCTGATGCCCGCAGCTGCTGGCCGTGGCACGCCTGGAACCGAAAGCGATGTTTACGGCGAAGCGGAAGCGCCTGATTTACAACTTGGGGCAACACGGTGATACGTGCTTCCTTCCGTTTGCCTTCTGTTTTGTCCCTTGTCGTAACTGTGGAAACAATCATGGCTCATTTATCACACATTGAAATTCCAAATACAATCTAGAAACATGAAAGCTTAGTTTGGAGAGCAGATTCAAATGCCCCCGTTTTTATCTTCGGTACCCATGAAAGAAAATAACAAAATTAACTCACTGTTGGTGCGGTTAAGGGGTGACTGAACCACAAAAAAAACTATAGCGCCTCCCCGTCGGGGAATCGAACCCCGGTCTCCCGCGTGACAGGCGGGGATACTCACCACTATACTAACGAGGAGTGAGCTACACGGCTCCTTCCCAAAGGCCTGATCAGGGACTCGGAGCGGATCCACCGCCCGCGGATCCCTCAGGTTAGAAGTAGACAAAGGCTTCCTTCAACGACGGAAACGCAGCTCCGACAGCTCGCACCCTCCTGCACGGGCCCCACCGCAAGGCATCCACATTGCCCTTTCACCATGTTACACCGGCCGGCCGAGGCGCCGCGCGTACAGGAGGGAGCTCCCCGGGAGCCTGCGGGCTGCATCTGGACGCGGCCTCCGCATCTGCTCGACAGAAATCAGTGCTGCACCCCAGGAGTTGAGAAAGACTCTTTGCAGCCGGGCCTCCCGTTGTTGAAGCCACACAGATTTGAACTCTTCCACTCCCGCTAAGGGACCCAAGAAAAAAAAACGGGCTCGTCCGGGATTTGAACCCGGGACCTCTCGCACCCGAAGCGAGAATCATACCCCTAGACCAACGAGCCGACGGGTAGCGATGCTCGCGAATGGCCTTAGAGGTCTCAGCCGAGCAGCGGCCCGGGAGCGCCGCGCGCCGTGCGCCCTGGCGCGCTGGGGGCCCGCGCCGCCGGGAGCCCCGGAGCGCTCGGATGCTGGGCTCTGCGCGCGGATCTCGACTCCTCCCAGGATGTAGCGTCAGGAAGTGGGTGGGAGAGGTTTCGGCCGCGCGTCTGAACCGCATAGCAGGATTCTTCAGGACTCATCCCTGAACAGGGGTCCGACCCTCCCCGCCTCCAAGGGCGGTCCTCGGGCCCAGCCTCCCCTGCTTCCGACCGCGGTCCCCAACCGTGGAGTCCCCAAGATCCCTAGATGCGCCGTAGCCCCTCTCGCCATCCTTGCCTTGAGTGCATCTTCTTCCTCCGGTGACAAGCAGGGCCCTCAGTCTCTCTGCGCGGCGTTCAAGTGGCCCGAGTGATGCCAGGGTGCCAAGGAGACCCGCAGAGGAGGCAATGGCACTGAACCAGCTGTCTTGTAGCTTGTGAGCTGGACAAGGCGTCAGGGCACACGGACAGGGTTAACACCGCCACGCCTGTAACACCGTTGCCAGCTCTGCTCCCTGGGTTCACCCCTGCCTGCCGGTCACCTCTCCAGTCAGTCTGCTGCTAGGAGACCCTTCTAAGCTGTGCTCCCCACCTGCAGCGTGGTAGAGGTCCTGGGGGAAGAGACCACACCACAGGCATGAGGGCCTAGGCCTGGACTGACCATTTTTGTAATCAGCCCTCCTCGGACTGCCTCTAAGCGTCTTCGTGGGGTCTGGTGGGGTCAGTTTCAAGCCAGAGTCCACTTGCCCTCAGTCCAGCGGTTTGTTCAGTGCCGAGTTTCATCTTGGGTCTCAGCAATTGGTTCCTGTCAATAGGTAAGTCATGGCAGACTGGACTGTGGTACCCCCAGCAGGAGCAAGATTGGGGACTGAAGCGGGACTTGTAGAAGAACTGTTGGCACTGCCCTCTTTTGATTATGAGAGCCAAGGATGGGGGTGGCCCAGGCTGGTCAAGACGGCAGCACCCACTGGGGGTGCTGCTCAGGCTGAGCTAAGCTGCAGAAGAGCCAGATGGGACACAGAATGGACTGGGCTAAGCCACGTGCCAAAACTGGGCTGGATGTGGGCCTGGTGGGGGTTGTTGAGGCTCACCTCCACAAGGCACCCACTAGGGTTCACCCACTGTCGGTTCACATGAGATGTGGGGCTAGAGGGAACTGACCAGGCAGCCGCCAGTTTGTGCATCGTGTGGTGCCGCTGACAGATGGCGCCTGACCCTGCACTGGCTGGTACACACAGGAGTCAAATCTGAGGTCACTCCAGCTGAGGTTCCTTAGAAGACTCCCCAGCTAGACCGCTGGACTCAGACCCTGGCCACAGGGAAAATCACAGATTATGTGGTCTGACTTTGGAATACGTGTATTAGAACGGGGCCTTGTCAGTTGCTGAAGTCCATACAGTGGATAGCATGTCCTGATGCACACGGGAGACATGCCAGCCAGCTCATCTGGGTCAGCAGGGGATGTTAGCTGCCTTGTCAGAGGATAGAAAGCAGAGCAGGTTGGACAGCTCTCCTGGCCAAATTTTGCAGCATGTTCCCCGTGCCTGTGGCTGCACTAAAGTGGACTCTTGGGCAGCCAGTAGACCTTGGAAAGATTTTCCCAACCGTGGTGCAAGAAAGCCAACTATCAAAACTTCTCAGGTAAAGCCCTTGGAACACTCTTCCCTATATCGGGGTCTCTACGGCGTCATCAAATGACTGTTCCCCATCCCTGGGTGCTAATGTAGTTTGACAGCAGGGAGTGGCCCTCTCTCCTTCTCTCCCCCTAGGGAGAAAAATAACATTTAAACATTTGTCCTACCCACCTTCCTCCATACCTGGACCCTCCCCCACCC